CCACTTAACATTCCCAAAGAAGTATGCCCACTAAGCATTCCCAAAGAAGTATGCCCACTTAACATTCCCAAAGAAGTATGCCCACTAAACATTCCCAAAGAAGTATGCCCACTTAACATTCCCAATGAAGTATGCCCACTAAACATTCCCAAAGAAGTATGCCCACTTAACATTCCCAAAGAAGTATGCCCATTAAACATTCCCAAAAAAGTATGCCCACTAAACATTCCCAAAGAAGTATGCCCACTAAACATTCCCAAAGTAATATGCCCGCTAAACATTCCCAAAGAAGTATGCCCACTTAACATTCCCAAAGAAGTATGCCCACTAAACATTCCCAAAGAAGTATGCCCACTAAACATTCCCAAAGAAGTATGCCCACTTAACATTCCCAAAGAAGTATGCCCACTAAACATTCCCAAAGAAGTATGCCCACTTAACATTCCCAAAGAAGTATGCCCACTAAACATTCCCAAAGAAGTATGCCCACTTAACATTCCCAATGAAGTATGCCCACTAAACATTCCCAAAGAAGTATGCCCACTTAACATTCCCAAAGAAGTATGCCCACTAAACATTCCCAAAAAAGTATGCCCACTAAACATTCCCAAAGAAGTATGCCCACTAAACATTCCCAAAGAAGTATGCCCACTTAACATTCCCAATGAAGTATGCCCACTAAACATTCCCAAAGAAGTATGCCCACTTAACATTCCCAAAGAAGTATGCCCACTAAACATTCCCAAAGAAGTATACCCACTAAACATTCCCAAAATAGTATGCCCACTTAACATTCCCAAAGAAGTATGCCCACTAAACATTCCCAAAGTAGTATGCCGACTTAACATCCCCAAAGTAGTATGCCCACTAAACATTCCCAAAGAAGTATGTCGACTAAACAATCCAAATGAAGTATGGCCACTAAACATTCCCAATGAAGTAGTATGCCCACTAAACATTCCCAATGAAGTATGCCCACTTAACATTCCCAATGAAGTATGCCCACTAAACATTCTCAATGAAGTATGGCCACTAAACATTACCAATGAAGTAGCATGTTCCCTAAACATTCCCAATGAAGTATGTCCACTAAACATTCCCAATGAAGCAGTATGTCCACTAAACATTCCCAATATACTATGTCCCCTAAACATTCCCAAAGAAGTATGTCAACTAAACATTCCAAATGAAGTATGGCCCCTAAACATTCCCAATGAAGTAGTATGTCCCCTAAACATTCCCAAATGAAGTAGTATGCCCACTTAACATTCCCAATGAAGTATGCCCACTAAACATTGTCAATGAAGTATGGCCACTAAACATTACCAATGAAGTAGCATGTTCCCTAAACATTCCCAATGAAGTATGTCCCCTAAACATTCCCAATGAAGCAGTATGTCCACTAAACATTCCCAATTTACTATGTCCCCTAAACATTCCCAAAGAAGTATGTCAACTAAACATTCCAAATGAAGTATGGCCACTAAACATTCCCAATGAAGTAGTATGCTCACTAAACATTCCCAAAGAAGTATGCTCACTAAACTTTCCCAATGAGGTATGCCCACGTAACATTCCCAAAGAAGTATGTCGACTAAACATTCCAAATGAAGAAGTATGTCCCCTAAACATTCCCAAATGAAGTAGTATGCCCACTTAACATTCCCAATGAAGTATGCCCACTAAACATTGTCAATGAAGTATGGCCACTAAACATTACCAATGAAGTAGCATGTTCCCTAAACATTCCCAATGAAGTATGTCCCCTAAACATTCCCAATGAAGCAGTATGTCCACTAAACATTCCCAATTTACTATGTCCCCTAAACATTCCCAAAGAAGTATGTCAACTAAACATTCCAAATGAAGTATGGCCACTAAACATTCCCAATGAAGTAGTATGCTCACTAAACATTCCCAAAGAAGTATGCTCACTAAACTTTCCCAATGAGGTATGCCCACGTAACATTCCCAAAGAAGTATGTCCACTAAACATTCCAAATGAAGAAGTATGTCCCCTAAACATTCTCAAATGAAGTAGTATGCTCACTAAACATTCCCAATGAAGTATGCCCACTTAACATTCCCAAAGAAGTATGCTCACTAAACATTCCCAAAGAAGTATGCCCACTTAACATTCCCAAAGAAGTATGCCCACTAAACATTCCCAAAGAAGTATGCCCACTAAACATTCCCAAAGTAGTATGCCCACTTAACATCCCCAAAGAAGTATGCCCACTAAACATTCCCAAAGTAGTATGCCCGCTAAACATTCCCAAAGAAGTATGCCCACTTAACATTCCCAAAGAAGTATGCCCACTAAACATTCCCAAAGAAGTATGCCCACTAAACATTCCCAAAGAAGTATGCTCAGTAAACATTCCCAATGAAGTATGCCCACTAAACATTCCCAAAGAAGTATGCCCACTTAACATTCCCAAAGAAGTATGCCCACTAAGCATTCCCAAAGAAGTATGCCCACTTAACATTCCCAAAGAAGTATGCCCACTTAACATTCCCAAAGAAGTATGCCCATTAAACATTCCCAAAGAAGTATGCCCACTAAACATTCCCAAAGAAGTATGCCCACTTAACATTCCCAAAGAAGTATGCCCACTAAACATTCCCAAAGAAGTATGCCCACTAAACATTCCCAAAGAAGTATGCCCACTTAATATTCCCAAAGAAGTATGCCCACTAAACATTCCCAAAGAAGTATGCCCACTTAACATTCCCAATGAAGAATGCCCACTAAACATTCCCAAAGAAGTATGCCCACTTAACATTCCCAAAGAAGTATGCCCACTAAACATTCCCAAAGAAGTATGCCCACTAAACATTCCCAAAGAAGTATGCCCACTAAACATTCCCAAAGAAGTATGCCCACTTAACATTCCCAATGAAGTATGCCCACTAAACATTCCCAAAGAAGTATGCCCACTTAACATTCCCAAAGAAGTATGCCCACTAAACATTCCCAAAGAAGTATGCCCACTAAACATTCCCAAAATAGTATGCCCACTTAACATTCCCAAAGAAGTATGCCCACTAAACATTCCCAAAGTAGTATGCCGACTTAACATCCCCAAAGTAGTATGCCCACTAAACATTCCCAAAGAAGTATGTCGACTAAACAATCCAAATGAAGTATGGCCACTAAACATTCCCAATGAAGTAGTATGCCCACTAAACATTCCCAATGAAGTATGCCCACTTAACATTCGCAATGAAGTATGCCCACTAAACATTCTCAATGAAGTATGCCCACTAAACATTACCAATGAAGTAGCATGTTCCCTAAACATTCCCAATGAAGTATGTCCCCTAAACATTCCCAATGAAGCAGTATGTCCACTAAACATTCCCAATATACTATGTCCCCTAAACATTCCCAAAGAAGTATGTCAACTAAACATTCCAAATGAAGTATGGCCCCTAAACATTCCCAATGAAGTAGTATGTCCCCTAAACATTCCCAAATGAAGTAGTATGCTCACTTAACATTTCCAATGAAGTATGCCCACTTAACATTCCCAATGAAGTATGGCCACTAAACATTCCGAATGAAGTAGTATGTCCACTAAACATTCCCAGATGAAGTAGTATGCTCACTATACATTTCCAATGAAGTATGCCCACTTAACATTCCCAAAGAAGTATGCCTACTAAACAATCCCAATGAAGTATGGCCACTTAACATTCCCAATGAAGTAGTATGTCCCCTAAACATTCCCAATGAAGTAGTATGTCCACATTCCTCATTGATGAAGCCACTGTCAAGATACAACATACACAAGTGCCGGTTTTCATTGGGGGATAGTTACCCTGGGTCTGCCTGGTCTGTCTGTAACGCTGCATCAGGTTAGTTACAGCAACACGGGAGCAACCCAAAGTTCCAGCAATGTGAGCATGGATGGCTCCCATTTGTATCATACCCAGGGCCCGCTGGCGTTGCTGGGGTGTCTGTCCTGGCATTTCTGTGATGGATTCTATCAGTGTGAGTGTGTGACATGCCCTCCGTATCATCTATATACCCTTATTGCACGTGTAATTTTTCGACGAATAAGTGAAAATATTGTTTAAAATTAATCATGCACACACAATATTGATGGCAATGAGCAAAGATGATTCTTTTGTATTGCATCAGAACCCTCCACCTCACCTCCCCCACCCTCTTGCTGAAATACCTTAAGGTGATAGACATTGGGATTTCGGGATAAAGGGGAATAAAACGCCTGGCATGCTACTCAAGGTAGGCACGGACAAGGTCTATTAACTCTTCCATTGCAACGGACGAGTTCTTGGTGGTCTGGCGAATCAGGCTTTCGTGTACACGATACACGAGTTCTGTTCATGTCTCTGCTCGATCTTCCTTATCAAGTTAACATCCAATTAGAAAATAAGCCACCATTTTGAATGTTCGTGGCCAACCTACGAAAGGTCTTGACCTGTCCTAGACTTAAGTTCAAGACTTCTTAGCATTACGATAGTTTCGAGAATATGGCTATTCACATTTCGACTTTGAGAATTCTTAGCGTTAACAACGTTCTGTGTTTTATTTCTATACGTCTACGTCATCTCGCATGGATATAAATACACATACATTAAATATACAACTTGTTAAGCTCTCCGGTGATAGCTACAGTACAGATAGCTATCAAGTTTTACCAGTCCTAAAACTACTGATGTACCTACACTACTTGCGTTGACCCCATAGACCATTGTGGGTTACCGCTGGTGCCAAACAATCGAGGTTGTCGTAAGAGGCGACTAAATGGATGAGGTGGTCAGGCCTGGTGACGAGATTGATTGAATGTCATCGTATCCCAATGGTGGTTCATAATATCAATTACTGGATTGTCTAGTCCAACCTCGATTATTTAAAGACCGCCATCATTTATTTGGAATATTGCTGAATATGGCGTTAAACACACGCGCTACTTGCATTGCTATCACTGTTTGTATTGTTGTATGGCAAGACATATACTTATATCCTGCAGGTAACGATGGCCCCAGCCCTACCCCTAGTCGTTCTCCTGTCATGGGTAGCTCTAGCGTTGGCCAGAAGAGATTGTGGACCAGCGGAACAGAAAGGTCGATTACGATTTGCCGGTGTTGTGTTTCATGAAAAAACACTGAGGAATTCACAGCAGTGCTTTAATCTGTGCTGGTCAACAAGTCCATGTAAGACTGTCAACTTTTCCTTCAAGACCAGGAAGTGCTCCCTAATGAAAACTAAGCACCAACGCCAAACCGACCTGGACGTAGATTTCAACAATGTATATGGAGTGGTGCCCCGACCTCAGTGCAAGGTACATACATACATATTCATCGTAGGATTTTGCGTTGCAGGTCGCATGTTCAACCTCTTCATATAACATATACCTTCACATGTATTCACAGAACACCAATCAGCCGCTGTATACCCACCCAGACACCACTAGTAGCAGTAGTAGTAGTAGTGGTGGTGGTGATGTCTAGCGTTAAATTCTGGTATAGTAGTAATAGTAGTAGTAGTAGCTGTATAGGTAGTGGCAGTAGTAGTAGTAGTAGTTGTATATGTAGTGGTAGTAGTAGTAGTAGTAGTAGTAGTTGTAGTGATCATGGTAGTAATTGTGTTTAACGCCGCGCTCAGCTATATATTCCAGCTACATGACAGCGGTCTGTAAATAATCGAGTCTTGACCAGACAGTCTAGTGATTAACATCAAGAGCATCGATCCATGCAAATGGGATAAGATAGCATGCATCAACCAAGTCAGCGAGCCTGACCACCCGATCCCGTTAGCCGCCTTTTGCGAAGGCATGGGTTGTTGAAGTCCTATACAACCCCGAATCGTCAAGGGTAGTGGTAATAGTAGTAGTGGTAGTAGTGGTAGTAGTAGCAGTAGCAGTAGCTGTAGCTGTAGTAGTGTTGGCGATTGTGTAGTCTAGCGTACAATGCTGCAGTAGTAGTCAAGCTATGATTATGATCAGACTTACATGTCAGGGTGGCACTATTTTAACACCCCCGAATGGGCACCGTCTTAGTCCTTCATAAACACAATTGGTTATATCATCAAATCACAATTTATTATACAAACCAATACAGTTTTGTTGTTGTTGTTGTTGTTGTGTACAGTGTTAGATTAAAGCCTGATGCCAACTGCCAATTGTAGACTTTCAGCACTCCTTGTGATGCCCGGCCATGCAAAGAAGGCTTCACCTGTTTTGGTTACGAAACGACGCATTCATGTGTCCCAGCAAGTGAGTGTCTGTCTCTGAAGTGAGATTGTGAGTGATTCGGGTGTTACAGTAAACAACATTTCAGGTATTACTCTGCGTGCAGCGTCTTGTGAGAGTCTCGCAAGCCGTAGTTGTTTGTCACATTGGTAAAACCCACGAGCATGGATATTGTGCTGACAAAACAAGGATCACAATCAGGGCGAACCTCGTATTCGAATCCTGGCACGCCCAATGGACGTAACTCTGCACGCAACTGTGAAATGCGGCCCATTAGACCAGTATTTAATCCATGTCCTCAAATCTTACTGAAACATATCAGAACTATTTGGACAATGGTACATGCATTTGTATGGCGATTGAGTTTTAACTCTATCCCGAACCAAGGATGTCGCGCCATCATATCCAAATGATGAAATCAATAAGTGATATAAGATATACAAAAAAGCTTTCTGGCAAATGTTAATTGTTGTTTTCTAACCAACCAGCTTCAACATTTCTATTGTGATAAAACGTGTCTACATGACATGCAATAATCATTCATTTCATTAAAGAAATGTACATTGATTATTTTCAGAGCCCCCCCGAATCCGTTGTTCACGCCCAAAGCCTCTCTCAAACGCCCGGGTACTTTCCACCGGGAGATGGCGGAAGAAGTTGACAACGTACACCTGCAAGAGAGGCTTCAAATTTAAAGGGAACAGTAACAGAAGCGTCTGTACCAGACATGGCTTGAAGGGCAGGTGGGAGGGCCTGGACGGAAAGTGCATACGTACGTTTAGGTGTTTACTAGGAGGCAGTGTGTGTCGGATTGTAATAAGCTTTAGCGCAACTGACTGCTTCCTTTGTATAAAGTCAAGACTGGTAACTTGAAACGATACACCTTGTACAAGAAAACCGTGTCTTACTGATGGTGTCTGAGTTTCCAGGCGGGCCCTTCTCTGCACTGGTCAATGTAGATTTTTTCTTCAAGATATCTTTAGTGGTAGTGTTGTAATTCTGGTAAATCGACTTACCATCAAAAAGCAGATGTCATGTTGACAATAGTCAAACGTTTAAAAATCTATTTCGACATTTGACTGGCAATTTGATCCCTTTATTTGGGGGTTGTAGGGGAGTTTGCAGTCGGTTGTAAAATATTACACATGTCAGCATGCCATTGGCTTGTCCTGTTTATAGGTCTTAGGTGTGGGCAGCTCATGGAGATTGACAACGCCGTGCTGACGCCTGGATCCACGCTCGCTGGCAGTGCCCGGACATACACCTGCAACAACATCAACGAGTCGGCCACCGTCATCTGCCACAACAACGAGACGTGGAGCAGCCATCACCTACACTGTCCTGGTAGGAATTGCCTTTACGCCTTAGTTTCTCACACATTCCCTGTACATTCTTGCATCAGTGTCTTCACACATGGGTTACTGTAAATAAATATACTGTGTGTTTCACGACCTGTGTTTATAGACGGGGGTACCTAATTGAACATGACACTGGTACCATGATGTCCACCTCAAGAGTGTAATTTAACACGAAACTGATGCCATCAGTAATATTGACACTGTCATGTCTACTTACAATGTTTTGTGTTACTCGAATTTCAAATGCCCAGGGAATATTAACCGAATATAATGAAACTTCCCCTGTTGATTTATTAAGTAAACTTACCTACACTTTATTTCATTTAACAGCCTTACATTCTAAAACAAACATTTAGGACAGCTCTTGCAGCGTTTAGGTCTCTTTGTGGAACGGTGGCCCAGATTTCTTCACTTGTTACCTTATAAATATATGTGTAATAGTTTGGAACAGCTGTGTGGTTAGGCACAGGATCTGTTGCCTCCTGGTCTGTCGAGTGTGATTGTTGCATGAATATGGTCAGGAAAACCCAGCCCTTTGCTGACAGCTATGATGTTTAGTTGATTCGTGATCTGTAAGAACAAATAGTCAATTGTTTCCATGCTTCTGTGTCTTACAGTTGACTGTGGAGCTCCCGCCAATATCAGCGGCAGCGTGGTGTCCGTTGGCGGCGGCCTGGAGGAAGACAACCGGACCTACTCCTGTGGCCAGAACATGGTGGCCAGTGGCAACCCGCACATCACCTGTCTGGCCAACGGGTCCTGGAGTCCAACAGACTTCGTGTGCAGGGGTAGGGACGTGCTTCAGTGAAGACACGGATATATATTTGCTGTTTAATGTGATAGTCAATCATTTTACTGCTTTTCCTCACTAAGATAGGAATGTGTATACACACCGGTCGGTCTCAGGTATTTGTGTATGTCGGCTCGATCATTTACATGTGCTCTACGTTGGTTGGTTGGTTGGTTTGTTGTTTAACGCCGCACTCAGCAATATTCCAGCTATATGACGGCGGTCTTTAAATAATCGAGTCTGGACCAGACAATCCAGTGATTAATATCATGAGCATCGATCCACGCAATTGGGATCGATGACATGCATCAACAAAGTCAGCGAGCCTGACCACCCGATCCCGTTCGTCGCCTTTTACGACAAGCATAGTCACCTTTTACGGCAAGACATGTGCTCTACGATGTCTTGCCGTAAAAGGTGACTATGCTTGTAAATATATGTGCTCTACGATAAATACTGACTCGAAATGGCTTGGTAAGATTTTTTTATGATATCTATGTTGTGTCAGCTGGAACATTGACAACTTGTCATCAGCGAAAGTTCATGGTCATGAAATAGTATTGTTCTGATGGGTTTCGCTCATGTAATGGTTATTGTTTTGAACACATTTTGGAAACTGGGATATCCTGATGTTATAAAAGAAAGGATTAAAAATAGTGACTCACTACTGCACACTAATGTAATGTGATAAATTCAAAATTGATAGAAGCTTGTGTTATGTCACGTGATTTTTATTAACTCGTCAAAAGCGTGCGGCTTTTTGCTTCGGAGCGGGGTATGAAGGATTTTTTCTGCATCTCAAAAATCAACGTGAAGGCTGTCTTGCTGGCGGCGGGGAACAGGGATTTATTCTCCCGCTGAGAAATATATTTCCCTCCAAGGCGGGATAAAAAGTACTTTATCAAGGTCACGTTGACCAATAAGATTTCATCATTCTGTCAATACTTGACTCGCCATGATATAAGCACATGCGGTTTTTTTGCCGGAAGATTCTAGTAGCCACCTAGAGGAAATCATTTATCATTCCATTTATCATTACCATTAAACAGAAGTTTGTGTTGAGGCATATGTTTAGATCGAAGACAAGAGTACATCATTGTGCTGATGAAGAGAATAGCCATTCTTTGATATGTTTCAGTGGACTGTGGACCGCCACATCTTGTCCCTAATGCCAAAAGTACATTCAACAGCACCCTTGTGTCCAGCACTGCGACATATGACTGCCTCCCTGGCTACACGGCATCTGGGGTCAATGAACAAACCTGCATGACAAACGGTCAATGGTCCAATGTCACTTTCAGCTGCGTTAAAGGTATGCTTACTTCTATGCAGGAACGCCTGTTGATTGCATTTGTTATTGAGTTTAACTGGAATTACATTGGTATCAGGATTGGTTAAAGAAACAAGCAATATGGCAAATATACTTACCAGCCCTGCGTTAAAAACCAAGGACAAAGTTTGATATTTTCGCAACTAAGGCTGTCCTCTTGTTTCTTCCTCACGATGAGGTAAGATACAAAACATATAAATATGCTTTAACCGTAGTTGATGTAGCTAGTCGGTATAATGAAGCTGAACCATTAACCTCAAAAGATTCAAGAAAAGCAGCTTGTGCACTGGGTGCATAGATAAACGCGGACGATTATAATTGCCTAAGTTGTTTCAAGTAGATCCTGGTCGCGAATTTATGGGATCAGTAACTAAACTATTAACAAAACACGATTTGGCAATCAGGCGTGGGGAAAAAGAGGCCCACCATAACCAAGCTAGTATTGAAAGATTTGACTGGACATTAGCTGAAAGTTTGTTTGGATATCAGTATGGGATTAAAATGATTGATTAAGATCAACGGAATGGCTGACACGATTATCAGCTGTTGTTTCAGTGCGGAATAATGAAGTAACAAGATTAATTTTGAAGAAACCATCCGATGTGGTGAAAATGAAATCTGTGACTTTTGAATTTTCAGCACAGAGGCAAAAGAACAAAAACTTCCGGGTAGAGTGAGTGTAAGATATTTAAACCAGCCAGGTGAACTCGAAGGAGGCCAACGTCGTGCAACTGATCCAATTTTGTCTGTAAGATATATAACATTAGACGACTGTTTATGAAAGAAGTCGAGCCTTTTCTATATTATCTTAAAGATAATAGGCAGGGGATTTGTACGCGAAGAGTTGTTCATAGTTCCAGAAGATACAGCATTACCTCCCTAAGTAACCATAAGCATAGGTAGTTACACCATTCTGACCAATCCAGCTCTTTGTATCTAAGGAGGATAATGATGTCTTGCTCATTCTTAATCCATATATCCTGTGATTATAAATTCTTAAAGTATTCATCTCATATCTGAATGTTCTACCATTGAATAATGCTTCTTTATACTGTTTGTGTCTTTCTTACTCCACTTGAAATTATACGATTAATGGGGAACTAAACATGATTCTCTTCCTTTGACATATAGGGAACTAAACGTGGTTCTCTTCCTATGACATATGAGGAACTAAACGTGATTCTCTTCCTATGACATATGGGGAACTAAACGTGGTTCTCTTCTTAATGAAAAACAAAGAAACTATGAAAGGTCCATGACCACGAATGTAGGAATGAATAACTAACTATAGGAGCAAGTACACATTTTGCATTTCTAAGGACCATGAATATTGGTCCATATAGTTTATATTAGCAATGAACGAAAAACCTACACTGTGAATATGGTTAACTATAGGACCAAGTACACACTTTACATTTCTAAGGACCACGAATATGGTCTACGACCACAAAGTTAAAGTGTGTCTTGCTCCAACGAATGAAAAACCCACCACACATTCATCCTTCATCTTACCTAATACCTTTTTAGTTACTGAGCTGTGCAATGGATAATCTTTTGGGTAATCGCTCGTGTCGTACATATCTATTTTTTCTGCCATATCTTTATACACATCCTCGGTTTGTTTTTCCATCAACAAAGAATCTGTGTCGGTATATAACACCTCGCATCTATCACCATATTGCTTCTTAAGTTCACTGTAATATAAGTCACACATTAAGTGTTTTGACAAGTCAAGAATACTCATACCAACGCAGACCGGTCTGTTGAATTTTTATATTACTCTTCCGCTTATGCAATGCCGCTACGGTCATTATCAAATTCCTACTTCTGTTAAAAGCTGGACTAGCTATAAGTTTCCTAAATCTTTCTTCCTCATTAAATATGACCAATTTAACATCAACACGCTTCCTTAGATTCTCCATAGTTTTACCAAATACTGAGTTATTCATGAGCTTACATAGGTGCTTTTCGAAATAACTAGTAGCCATCTTTCATAAATCTGTGTTCAGCCAAGGGCTTTGATCAAACTTATGAACTCTGTGTATTTAATTTAGTTTCATGCTTGATATAGATATAACTGGAGATTTCTATAGTGGACTATTTTGTCTCATCCATCAAATTTGGTACAAGTTTTTCTACGTTAGCTAATGTAGTCCTTCCCATCAAGTTATGTTGATCTTCTGACATATGATCTCTATTAACCATTAATCTTTCGGGAGCTAGCGTATAACTGTTATGGTCTTTGTGTAACTCTGTTGGATCTCCTAAGTCAACTTCTAGTATGTATCCTTTATCAGAATCTGTGGGAATATTATTCACATCAATATTGTTTACCCACTCAAAACCACCCGTGGGCAAAGGTTTACTCATAGCTCATCCATACAAATTGTTGGCGTCGAAAAAAAAAATGTGCGTAGTAGGTTTACTCGAATCATATCCTTCTGCTAATTTATTATTAGCCTTAGAATACCTTTTCACTGTCATTGATATACCACCTCTTAATCCTTTCTCAACAAACAAGTGCATATCGTAATCTGTGAGTAATTTTAATTCTACACCGGTCTTCTTAAACAATGTATCCCACAAGAGTCCGGGACTGGAATAGTAACATGCCGGATCCAAGCCATATTGTTTTAAACATGACTTTCAAAATATCTCAAATATATCGGCGAGTAACAGTACATCGGTTTTTAAATACAGATCATGATAATCACCTAAATTCTTACAACCTAATTTATCCCACACATTAAGACTGTATTTATAATCAGCATCGGTTATCTTAGATTCTGTTAAGTTACTATAGAATGATTCAATGGGTGGTAATTTAGTTTCATCGAATCTAGACCAATCATCCATATATTCATAAGGATATACACCTTATCTTAGCAACAAATGCTGGGTTAACCGATCATTATATTGATTTGTTGAAGCAAAGTCATTGGGATTGTTTGCATTAGCTAAATTGTCCAGGGAAGAGAACAGAAGCTGTACACTATCTGTGAATCTAAGTCCATTACTTTGTTTTGTTCTCGCTTTCCCATCCTTGTCCGTATAAAGTATAGTATTTGGCAAGGAGAATGAGATATATCTTTCCATATTATTAGGAATGCGCGTTCAACTGTCATCGGTCTTTGAGATAGCTTGCATGTTGAGATGAGAATCATATCCTCTAAGGTTATGATTGGTATTATTTGAGAATTCATTTTAAGTTTCAAGTTACACTCGTTATTCGTGGCTCCCCTGTAATTACCCATGACATGACAATAATCTCCTACCGAATCACCATTGAGGGGTTTATTACAAACATGACAACTCCTTGACTTCTCACAGGCCTCTGTAGTCTTCTTTATGCGCTTCTAAAAGATCTTGTCTGCTGTATCCATGCAGACATCTTTCACAGAAATATTCTTTTCTTATAGGTTGTTTGATCGTATATTAGCCTGTTTAAACTCTTTATCCAAAATGGCGGTCAATCAAGATTCAATATACGACTAGCTACTGAAAACAATAAAATCTGCAAAATCTTCATTGTATGTCAACCAAGTGAAAGTCGTTAGCTTCGACTTACAAAATGATCGTCCAGACTTTGAGGGTTTGGCAGATCCGCTCGACTGATCTGCATCGGTCGACTGGCTGTCATCACGCTTTCGCTTCTTGTCTGATATATCGTAGCATTGTGAGGATAATGAGGTACATCTTACTTACTTACTTTGGAGATTTAACGTGCGCTTTCCGACTGATGCGTCTTTCGCACACGGTACATCGACTGACTGACTGATATAGAAGATTTAACGTGCGCTTTCCGACTGCAGCGTATTTCGCACACGGGCCTGGCCAGACCATTTAGTGTATTCCGAGAAGGGTGAAAGTGGTGTGTGCAACCCAAGAGGGGGTTTTTAGGGGTTGCTTATATCGATTTTTTGAAATTTTAAAATTTGGAATAAATGCCGAGGTGGGTGGAGGAGGGAACTAAGGGAGCCGGGTGAGGTGGGTGTTTGTATGTTTATTGGATTTTGGATTGGTAGATTAATTAGTTTTTAGATGCGCTTAATTAGTTCTGTTTTGATTAGGAATACGCCTAGGGCCTTGAAGTTTTCTAGTTTATTTTGAGGGTTTAGTATTTCATCTAGAGTAGGAACCTTATTTAGATTGAGGTTGGTTTGTAGTGTGGTTCTGTGTGTTTGGTAGTGGGTGCAGTGGATGAGTGCGTGTTCTGTGGTTTCGGGTTGTTTGCAGTGGGGGCAGTTTCCTGTGGTGTGTCTTTTAAGTTGTTTTAGGTGGTTATTTAGGTTCGTGTGTCCTGTTTGGAGTTTTGTAATTAATCTGTCAATTTTTTTTTTTGGGGTGTAGGATTTTAGGTTTGGCTAGTGGTTTTCTGAGCACTTTTTTGATTTGGCTATTTGAGTTTTGATATTGATTATGCCATTTTTTGGTTATTTTTTGTTTGTTTACACTTTTAATTTCTGATTTTGAGATGGGTAGGTTTAGGCTTATTTCTGGTATTTTGAGAGATTATTTAGCTGCTTTATCGGCGCTTTCGTTGCCGTAAATTCCTACGTGGGCGGGGATCCACAAGAAGGTTATTTGTTTGCCTGCTTTTGTTAGGTCGTTGGAGCTTTTAAGTATTTGGTTTATTAATTTAGGTCGGTTTTTGGTATTTTTGTTTTGGAGGGCTTGTAGTCCACTTAGGGAGTCGGTGAGAATTAGGATTTTTGTGTTGTTTTTAGATTGTTGGTTATGCAGGGCTGAGGCCATGCCCATAAGTTCGGCCGTGAATATAGATTGGTTGTTAGGGAGTCGGTAAGATTGTGTGGATATAACTGGTTGTGTGGTATGGACTCCGAAGCCTGTGTGGTTGGAGGTCGGGTCTGAAGATCCGTCAGTGTATATGTGACACCAATTTGGCCAATTTTCGTGTATGTATGCAAGTGTAGTGGTTTTAGCTATGTTTGGGTCGGTTTGTTTATTTATTTGGTTAGCTA